GGGAAGGGAAGGGAAGGGAAGGGAAAAAGAAGTGACTTCCAACACAAGGATCCCACATCTTGAGATTCCCAGGTTCTGTTCAGGCCTCTTGTCAAACTGTGGTTCCGGAAGCTTCACAGGGTCTCATGAGATGTTTAAACTGAAAAATCAGTATCCGGAGCTGGCTAGTAAACAATTCAGCTCCGGCTTACCACCAAGTCTGAAATGACCAATCTGAGTTGCAGCTCCCGTTTGGCCTTTGCAAGCTCTGTTGTTCAAGAGGCAGCAAACAAATTGTTCGAAACAAGAGTTTGCCAGTTCGCAAACTCTAATTTGGGCTGTAAACTACGGTTCGCACGGAGTGAGGTTCCACGCACACGCCAAGTTTTTGCATGAGTTACAGACAAACAAGTTTCTAGTCCTTAAGGTCACAACCATCGTTTACAGCCCCGAGCAGGGTCACGAGTGGCTGGTTTCACCAACTCTGCTGCGTTCATGTAATATACTGAACCCAAACAAATAAACCACCTTTGAGCTTAATGTGATGGTTCAAGTCACACAGACACACACACACACGCGCCAAGACTACAGCTGGGCTCCTTCAACAAGCGAAATAGCTAATCAACCTCTTTCAGCCCAAGGTAGTGTGCTGTGTGACTCTCTGGCCAACAAAAACGGTCAGAGCTACGCAGATCCTAGTCTCCTAGTCTTCTGCAACAGATTGTTTTGATTCCAGCACAGAGGAACACCAGCTTTGCCTGCCCTGACCCACCCCAGCAGCCTGTCCTCCCTGCCTCACCAGTGTGATGTCTCGAGAAGCAGCCGCTGCGCTCATGTGAAGGCTGGGCTGACGGATGGAACTGCTGCAGTCAAGGGCTCGTGCGAAAGTGCCAACGGCCCTGAGGCCAGAGAGAAGAGACGAGATGGTTAATCATCCCTAGGCCCTACTAGCAACCTGGCCCGGAGCAGCCCAACCCGCCCGCAGCAGGATCTCACCGAGCCACCACCAGGAATTGGTCGATCTGCCGGTCGGTGAGGGGGTTATCAGGATCCCACACTTTCATCTCCATCTTCTGCTGGTTCCGGTTGTCCGATTCCCCTGAGGAGGAAGAAGAGGGGTGTCAGCACCCATGGCTGGCCTTTCTCCAGCTCGACTCCTCTTCTCCCCAGATTGAAACCCAGAGCCGTCCTCGCTCACCTTCTGCAAGTCGCTCGGGGATCTCCGCTTGGTACTTGCAGCCCACCCGGATCTCCCCCTGATCAGCTAAGAGAGTCTTCTGAACCGGGTCAAAAACCAGCGAGTAGAAAAAACAATCCTGGGAAGAGAAATGCGGAGCATTCAACGTCACTTTCGGGAATTCCGCCCTGAGAGGGTCCCTTGCCTGCTCTTCTGCCCACTGGAGTCAAGAGCCACTGGGGTGGAAACCCAAGTCTTTAGGGTTGTCTGAGGAACTTCAAAATTTTTCATCCTCCCTGTCTGTTAGCCCTGCAAAGGAGTCCTGGTCAGAAGCACCACCAGGAGTACTAGCTCTGTCTTTATTGTCAAGTTCCATGAAGGGAATCCTGAAAGACTGAAAGTATTTCTCCCTTCCTTTCCTTTTACTCTTTGGAAAACTAGGGAAGGTCCCTTCTGAGATGCTTCCCACGCCCCTTTTCCTTCTCTGGGCTGAGCCACCTTTTACACACCGGATGTCCCTTCTGTGGCTCTCCCTCCTGTCTCCCAAGCTCATTCCCACAGACCATTATGCTGTCTCACCTCTTTATCCAGGTACTGACTGAGGATGTCTGTTTCATTGAGCAGGGTAACGCTGCATTTCCCCCTGCAACCAAAGAGAACAGTGATCATCTTCTTGCCCTCCCCACTTTTATTGCAACGTTATAAATCTTAATACAGTGTACGATTGCAATGTAGATTGCAGTGCGGTGATGTTTATATAATGGGATTAAAAACGATTAACATTCTATTATTTAGAAAGCTTACAGTCTTGAAAATAAAAGAGAGAAAAGTAACAATCCTATCCATATTAATTGCAATTTAGGATGATTTGGCTTTTCACCCAAAGTTGAGCACACTGTAGGAAAAAAGCTGCTGCAGTTCACATCAAAATATGAGTTATATGATCATAGTTTCAGTCCTGAATGAATTATTTAGTATTAAGATCTGGGGGGTCATATTCTTGAAAAGTCCACGCTCAGCTGCTCTGCTCCCAAGTCTAGGAGGGAAGGCTCAGGGTCCAGCCCTTGTGTCAGATCAGGGAGACGTGAGCCCAAAAGCTCTCCTTCTCAGTAGCACTTGGGAACACCCTACTTTGCGCTCTCCCTGCTGGCGAGCTGCAAGGCAGTGAAAGCTGTATTTCCTGGATGATTTTTACAGGCTTTGTTGATTTATTAGGGATGGGCTGCTGTGTTGATGTAATGGTATGTGGGAAAGACTTTGGGAGACGGGGCGGAGAGATGCTGCCAAGGGAACAGTCAGATAAGAAGGGCATAGCCCGTAGCTGGATAGTGGGTGGGGCAAGAGGCTCAAAAGGGACCCTCCCTAACCTCTCAGGCTGTAAAGGAGACAGCAAGAGACTTGTACTTTCAGACTTGCAAGATTCTGTTAATGTAGCTTTGCCATAAAATAGAATTAGCTCATCTCGTCATGCTTCCTGTCTGGTTTACCTGGGAAGGCTGACAATGATTTTGCAAGTCTGAAAGTATAATTCTCTCTCCCCCATCTCCTTTACAGCTCAAGAAACTAGGGAGGGTCCCTTCTGAGCCTCTTGCCCCACCCACTATCCAGCTGCAGGCCATGTTCTCTTATCTGACCATTCCCTAGGCAGGGTCTCTTTGCCCCATCTCCCAAGGCCTTTCCCACATACCATTACAGCTATTCTTATGTTCTCCCTGAATTTTGACTTGAAACTACCGACTTCTGTACTTCTGGAAAATCTTGCTACTGCAAATCACTCAGAGTCGTACAAGCTGGGCTGGACGTAAGCGTTGTAAGAGAAATGACAAAATAAAACTGGGCTGCTAGCCAGGCCTGCCCAGCCCTGCAGCCCCTCTCCCCTTCCCTGAAGCCTCAGAGACAACACAGCCACCCTGATCTTTCCTGAACCCTCTCCTCACCGTATGTGGGTAGCGGGCAGAGACTCAAACTGGCGCGACAAGAAGAGCTCGCGATGTTTCAGCTGATGCCGCTGTTGCTCCGAAACGGAAGGCTGCTTCGATTCTTCTTCAAATTCACCTGGGTTTTTTTTTAAGGGGGGGGAGACGAGACCACAGATGGGGAGAGGAAGGGAGAAACACATAAGCACTTCCAGGAATACTATCTTTTTCAGAGAAGGCACAAGTTGGCTTTTAATCAGCTAGGGATCAACACGTCCAATGAGAGATTACATAAAGATGTGTTTTGAGTCAAGCTTAAATTGGGTCTCCGATCCACCTAAGCTGGTGTTTTTCTAGGTGGAGGAAATGGAGGAGAATATTTTTTTTTCTCCCTACCATCTGACAACTAGGAAGTTTATACAGTATTTGGGATCCCCAGGGAGATATTCACCAAAGAATCACTGGTTGACTCTGGGCCAGTCTCCCAACCCATCACTCGAAACTGAAAGGAAAGTGGCGCTACCATTGCAAGAGGTAAAACTGCTGAGGCCGGATATCGCTTTACGCTCGAAACGCCGAAGACCTCCCACACCACACGGCTGCCTAATCCGCTTTAAACAAAGGCCACTTAAGCTGCTACTACATGCTGTCAGAGCAACTCTCAGAGTTTAGTGAGGTGGGGGGGAAGACACTCCCTTTTTGCCTGTCTTAAAATCTACAGCTGCTCCCGAGATGCCTGTGCTCTTTGGGGCTTTCATCACATCTCTCCTTCCGCTTTCTGTTCGCTCAGCTCAGGAGCCTCTGTGGCCAAAATGCCACCGGGGGCCAGGTTCAAGCCGAAGTCCCTCCTGTCCTTTCTGCCCTCCAGCAAATTTTACACTCTTTTTCTCCTTCACTCTCCAGACACACACATGCTTCTGTGTCCTTCTACAGCGCCCCCCAAGCATTGTTCTTCTTCTGGCCCGCCCCAGCCTCTGCTCCTAGAACTTGGCAGTGTCCCAGAAAGGTGGGGAGGACAGGAAGTAGAGGGGTGTTCACTCCACTCCCACCCACCCCCCACTTCGGGGCTCAGGAAACCCTCTGCAGGGATAAGGGGCGGGCATAGATTGGCAGGCCTGTCGTGAAGCCAGTACCCTCCTCCTCTTTGCCCAATCAGGCCCAACCAAGTCAAGGTCACAGCCCCTGCCGGAGAGGCTGGGAACCCCCACAGAAGTCCCGCACATTCCTCCTCCTCCCATGCGCACAGCTGCAAGCCCACTTCTGTTAACCCTTCAGGTGCTGGGGGCTGGGCCAGGACTGGCAGCACAAGCTGGAAGTTGCCCCTTCCCGGCGTCAGCACCAGTCTTTCTAGACCAAGCCTTTCTCCCGTGCTCTCCACCCCCACAGCCCCCGAGGCGCTCCACTCAACTTCGCACCAAGCTGGTACATGCCCCAAAAAGCCAGCTTCTTCTCTGCCCTTCACTATTCCACCTGCAAGCACACACACGTGTGTGTTCTGTACAGATCAAAACCCACAAGAAAACGGGCTTCTGCATTCACATCCGCAATTCGGACTTTAAGGGCCCGGCTGTGCCAAGCAGAGGGTGGGGCAG